ACCCAAACAATCCATTGGGATAACATTAAGCCAACCGCTGAAAAAATCGACCTCATTTGTCATTTTTGTGTGGACACGAAGAGCATAGAACACTTTCCCTGGTATATTTCAAATCGAAATTGCCATCCAACTGTAAGACCGTCGCTGATTACTCCTAAAGTATGAGGATCGTCCCCTACTGTTATATAGATTCGCCTTAAGTGGGTGTGACCACAAGACGGCGTCAGTGAGATTCGAAAGCCAACCGTTTAGTCAAAACCAAATTCGCTAATGAGTTTGCAAATTGGCTGGCCCAATACTTCTGAGACTTGCTGCAACAGGGCTTGAACTTGAACTTCAACCAAAAAGTCTTTTTAGAAATAAATGTATTCCAGCTAAAATAAATTAGTTTACAGTAGTAAATTGAAATCCTAAGCAAAGATGATGTACTGTAAACTACTTTATTTTCACTTGGAATTTAATTTTGGTGAAGAGATGAATCAGTGACAATAAAATCCAGTGAAAATACCTTTTTTTCATTGTTTTATATTCAACTTAGTGAAAATAAACTTCATACAAAACAGCCAAAATGTCTTTTTAGTGAAAATTAATTGTTAAAGTATTTAACAGTAGTACTTCATTGTCATAAAATTACAGCACACTGAAAAGTGTTATGTCAGTACAGACCAAACAATGAATAGGAAAACTGAATACCAGAAGATCTGGTTTACCTTGACTTATCACAATTTCCTCTATGAATCACAGTCCTTCTATAGAAGGACTGTGACTGAATGTGTTTTACATTTCCTCAGTTTAGATATAAAATTAGATATGCATTTAACATTTATTGAAACAGAAGGAATAACTACTAGAACACATGCAAATTAGTCACCTTTCATTTATTTTGTAGTGGGAATTGTTATCACTAATGTGGCTAGCTTTAGCGCTAACACCAGTTTTATTTTGTCTCAACAATCTACATAACAGAAGAAGACAGGCAAGATATTAAGGCTGTCAGAGGGTTGGATTTAAAAACTGCTGCGAGAGAACTGACTAGGGGTTTGGGGGCGCTTTTCCAATTAAAAAGCGGCTTATTTCCGGGAATACGTGACTGTGACATGGCCACCGGCTACGGTGAAACGATAATTACCCAACCCACGAGGTACAAGTCTAGTCTCATAGTCACATCAAAATTCAACACTCTAACATCTCCGAACATGTATGACATTTCAAGTGATAAGACACGATGGAACGAACGTCTGTGAATAAGACGAGGTGCGCAGACAGGACCAGTCCTGTACTCTTGCCCGTACCCGAAAATTTGTTGGGAAAACAACAGATCATACATGGATATTTCTGGATTAATCGTTTCTATACACAGTAATACTTACAATTTTCCAGTCTGTACGACAAAACACAGTGTAATAAACGGCGATTCTGTTGTGTTTGTCTCTGGCCTTCACCGCGTCTTCTATGCATTTATGTTTATGGATCCATTCACGTTTAAGTCAACATTCACAGCGTCGGATTCAAATAAACAGTCACGTATGCCAGAAAAAAAACGTTGAATTATAATTAAATAAATTTGAATAGGCTACATTTTATTAATACTTTCCATATTAGTAAATATATTTATAGTTGGAAATCGTGACTATATGAGAGGTAAAGTATTCGAATGTATGTCTGCGAATTCGGCGTATTCAATTCTAATGGATTGACATTTCCTTGTATGCCAGACGTATTTTACTATTAAAAGGTTCGTTCGGCCGTAAATTCTTATTTCCGGCCGACGTAATTCATCACACTACACGCTTTCACAACTACATCTATTGAGTGGGTAACAAATTAGCTGGTTTGGCTTCTTGTTTCTTTTTCTTGTCACAATTTAAATCAAAAATAAAAATAAGTTGCTTTTCGCACAATTTAAGTATTTTTCCCTGAATATAGATAAAATAGTTCTTTATTGCCCAGATTAAATATTTGGATCGTTTAAATGAACTACATGTACCACCAATCATAGTGTACTCAAAATGGTCACTAAAGAAGAAATCCAAATGAACTTAAATTGGATAAAACTAATGTAAGAAAAATTCTGCTTTACTGTAATAATAATAACTTTATTACTCAACAATTACCATCTGTGGGTAATGTATAGTAAGAAAAATACTACTATAAAGAAAAAATTACAAAAACAAAAACAAAAAAAAACGTTATTTTTTGTATATTGTTTGTTTAAGATATTTAACTGGTGGAAAACTGTTGTTGCATATGTTTATAAAATTGTTTATTCTATCCTGTTATTATGTTACATTCTATAAACAGCAATTTTTGTTCTTTCTTATAGCGCTCACAGTCTAAAATAACATGGATTAATAATAACGTTATTGTATCTTTAGAAATACACACCAGTATATACCGGTACATGTAGCAACAAATAATGGAATACAATAAAAATCATTTGTAGATAAGATTACATATCATGTCTTTCAATTCTAACTAAGAAGGCATTGTGTATGAATTCTACAGATTTGATAATATTTTTATCTGCTTTGCAATAAATGAATGAATTTTTGAAGTTTGGTTTGTATTGTAATTCATTACCGTAGACAAATATTTTCAAAGAGATAGATATTTGGGGCATTCCATGAAAAAGTGTACTTCATTTTCTATTTCTGGAAGTGAACATTGACCACAAATTCTATTTTCTAAATGTGTTTTTGGATTATTATTTCTCCCCTTTTCAATAGTTAGGTTATGATTGCTTGTTTGAACTTGGAGACTGAAATTCTTTTTATTGTTTTTGATTCAGAATAGTTAAGTACAATATTCTCAAAATTGTATTTTGTTTTAAATAAGCATAATTTTTGTACCTGGTTTAAGTTTACTTTTCACTATATTTTGGCTCCATAAATTAATATATTTTTGTTTATTACTGTTGATTATTGTCCTAATATGTTGTTGTGTTATTTTATTTTGTGATTTTGTTGATATATCATTGTAATTTGTACAGAGACTGTTCTAGAAATGCTTGTTTTGTATTCTTATTTAGAGGTAGATCGATTTAAATACAAATATAGTGTTTTATCATTTTTATTTTTATAACTATAATTGGAGGAAATTCACCCACTTCAGTTCTTGATGCAGCATTTGTTGTCTTTTTATTTAGGCAAAGCAATTGTTTCATGAATTTACTGGTATTCTTAATTCCCATACCCCCGATTTTGAACATACTGTAAAATGACTAATTTTCACTGGGTTTAAATTTCACTGATTTACCATTTCAGGCATATTCAGTGGGTTTTAAATTCACGGTTTTATCATTTAGATAATGTGTTCTATGCTAAATTTTACATATTCACTGGGTTTTAATTTAGCGCATTTTCCAGCCAGCGAAATAAGCATAATTAAAACCCAGTGAATAATTAACACTTTTACAGTAATTGGTTTAATGCATTTATTGAAAATCTGCATGGATGTTTTGCAGTCTGTTTCTTTGAGCAATGACTGCTTTAGAATATACATAGCAAAGTATTATTTTTTTTTACATGCCTTACATAATTTTAGAAAAAAGGGATTGTCTGAATTTTAGTTACATTGTATATAAGTTATAACAATCTGGACATAGAGCCCCTTGTTACTAGTAGGTAAAACAAGTAAATATGAAATGAAACTAAAGAGGGTTGTGTCAAAATACAAAAATATTACATTCTAATTGTGTTTTGACTATTAATGAAAGATTACTTGATAAATATGAAAAAATTAAACCAAGAAAGTATTTTTTCTAGAAAATTAGTTTATCTTTATAGAAATACTTCAAAACATCTGTTGATAAATAGGGTTTACAGGTGATATTGTAATTATTATTTAATGTACAATTGTAATTAAATATGAATACAGGTATTACTAGGTTTGAGGGTCTTAGATTATCAAAGTTTATCAACCCTTTGAATGACAAATTTAAAATTTAAACCCGAATAATTTTGTATATTTTTTCTGAAATTTTAATCAAGCCTAGTAGAGAATAAGAAATTATATAAATTTAGTTAAAAAGAAAAAAAAAATTTATTTAAAAAAAAATCAACACCGTTAGTTTTAACTGCACTCAGTCTGATTAAAATCCAATCAAGGTGAAGACTCTGGTTATGCTAGTATCAGATTTCAATATCATTAATAGATGGCACTTTCAGACAAATTAATGAACCAATACTTATTTCTTTATTCATTCATTCTGTACTTGAATATTTGCTATGTTCAAATCTTAAACGCTTTCAAACTAAACTTTTCATTCTTGTTCATGTACCATATATATCAAATAAAACACAAATGATTGCAATATTCTAAATTAAAATATTTGCATGTCTATTTTTAGATTTTAAGAGTGATTAAAAAACATATGCCTATCTGTTGAAGTTGTATTACCTTTTAACTGAACTCTATCTCTCAAATATATTGGATTTATGTAAATGTGTCATATACATTGCAAATTTAAAAGCAGGAAACATTTGACTTATGTTCTTATGGTAACACTTTCACAAATAATATTTTAAGATTTAACATTAATTATTGATTTAATTTGTACACATTGTCAAATTTCTCATTTTTTTTTACCCAGAATAACATATTTTGTGTAGAAAAACTTGAAAAAAAAAAATGAACATTTTGTGATCATTTAGAATCAAAATAAATACTGAAAGTATTCATCGTATAGTAATTTCCCCAAAAATGTCCGAACTTCTAATTCTATCTTATTTTCCCCCTTTTTTATCTGAATTAAATTTTGAGATGTGATGAAACATTTTTACCATTAGAAACCAATGGTAAATGGCTCAAAAATTTTCGTGGGCTGTGTTAGTTTAGTGGTCATATATTTTTATCTGGGTTTTGTGAAAAACTACGTTGTAAAAAACACGGAAATCTGATGTATTTTCAACGGTTGCAGATATAAATCAATTCACAAAAAAAACTCTGCTAAAATGGATTAACAGCATAAAATTATACAAATTGATATTCAAGTAACAGAAAATTAATTATATTTTTAAATTAAATTAATATGGATATAGTTGTACCCAAAACTAGTCAGGTTAAGCCATTCATCTTAATAATGAATTTTTATTTCAATTAACTTAAACCAGCAGTTCTTGAGATTGCGGTGGAACAGAATTGACACGCCATGACACGATAGACATACAGACAAATGATTCACAAACAAGAGATAAAAATATATAACTGGGAATAATCTTTATTGCTTTCTAGTAACATTAATACAATATATTTTCACCAAAAATTAATTTTAAAAAGACTATTTCTTGCAAGGTTGGTGGCATCATGATGTGCACATTTGAATTCTGTATAATCAATTTGTTTTTACGTACATTGCACACACGTAGTGGGACCCGTGTTGAACACGACATGGCGCCGTCCATTAACCCTTATCCTGCCAGCCTTTTTACATTGACTTGACTAGATAAGGGTTAAAGAAGAAGTTACAATATAATTGTATAGAAGATTGCATTCTGAAAATATAATTAATTTATTGAAATTTACTTTAAATCGACATTTAATTTTCCTTTCAATTATATTTATGGGTCTGTTATTATCAACGAAAGTCAATGCTGTATTGTTTTACTATGAACCCCCCCCCCCAATCCTTGCAAGGGTACAGACAACTTTGAGTCCCCCAATCCTTGCAAGGGTACAGACAACTTTGAACCCCCCAATCCTTGCAAGGGTACAAACAACTTTGAACCCCCCAATCCTTGCAAGGGTACAGACAACTTTGAACCCCCCAATCCTTGCAAGGGTACAAACAACTTTGAACCCCCCAATCCTTGCAAGGGTACAGACAACTTTGAACCCCCCAATCATTGCTAGTGTTCGTACTACTATTCTAGGCTAAAAAGTTTGCTTTATTTTAGATTAAAAGTAGTAGTCATGAAAAGCATGTGTTCAAATCGTGTGCAAACAAGATATGACTTGTTACGATGAATTAGCACTTAAGTTATTGCTAAAATAATGATAAATTACAAAAAAACTGCAACAATTCCTACCCCTACTGTATGAATTCAAACTATATACCGGTATATCAAATGACTAGAGTGTCAAACTCCTCCAAATGTACAGAGAACGCACTGAAGATTATTATGGGATGTATACCAAAGCATGCTAGGAAACATTTCTTTTTAGAAATCACCATAGCACTTATATTTCCTTTTGCTTTTATTCAAATATAAAGCTTTATTTCCCCTAAAAATGCTGCATAAATCTTGCAAAATTAAAAACACTAATGGCTGATATCAAGATTCAGGTGGGAATGGGAGTTACAACAAGGTAGCAGTTGCATATCATATCAGATCATTTGATATTAAAATAAAAATACACAAATGATAACTGGCAAAGTTGAGAAGGGCAGATTGTCATGTGAATCATTATAGGTGTCAAAGAATGCTGTGCAATGCCATGCACTTATAGTTACTGCTTAAATTTCATGAACAAGAA